AAAAAAAAAAAAAGATGGATGGGGGCCTTTAAACACTTGAATTGATGCTTCTCTGTTGACAGGTGAAGACTCTATGAGTTAACTCCTTGCCTCAGCGATGGGCCCTTCCAGGATGGTACAGTTAGTCTAAAGAAGAGGTGAGGGAATGAGATCCTTCCTCCTCATTCCTCTTGCCAAAGTATCAGGAGAATGGGTCATCTGGAAATTGACTAACAATAAATAGAATCCTACACAAAGGACAAGAGTTCCACAGGATTCTGAAACTACCTGAGTTTTCAGCCTGACCTGAATAACAACTCTACATAATGATTTCATAGGAAAATTTAAAGTTACTCTCATAAGCAGTTTGTCTTTCTTATCATTAGTAAAATTTAACTTTCTTGCAATATTCTATTTTCTCACTTGATCTTAGTCAAAAGGCCAAGAAGCGATTATATATTCTACTTTCTCTCTCCTGTCTCCTCTTTCCTGATTTTTACCATCTCACCAGTTTTTCCCATTCTGATTGTTTCCTAAGGGAGCTCTGCAATGTTTTGAAGAAACTCTTCTGCAACTCTAACCTTTTCAAATAAATCTGTTCTTTGCACTGACAAGAGATTTTCTCGGACAGTAGACCTCTCTGGTGCATCCCTGGTAGTGTTCCCTACTCCCTTCCCTATTTATTGGACAGTGACTGGTTGTCTACCCATGAGTTTCCCAACAGCAAAGGACCGAGAGGCAAAGACTGCATTCTCTTTGTTTCTTCTACAGGAAAAAATCTAAGTAAACAGAGAGCAGGTTTCTACCAGTTGAAGGACAATGGAATCATATTTTAACAAATAACTATCAGCCTACAGTTTTGTACCCAGGAACAATCATTCAAATATGGAGGCAAAATAAAGTCATTTTTAAGACAAAAGTGAGTGCTTTAAGTACGCATAGTGCCTCAGGAAAATGACACCAGGCCAAGATGGAAAGTTTAAATACATACCCACATTAACTCTGGGGTATACATTAAAAAATTAAAGATAAAAACTGAAATAGTAAAAACAGAATTTAGGATATACAAACTAGTACAGGAAAAATGAAAGGAATAAAATTCAATCCAACAAATAGAGAAAAGGAGAGAATAAGCAAATAAAAGAGCACAATAGATTTAAAACACAAATTAAGACAGCATATGCAAAGCTAAATGTATTAGTTATTAGACAGAGATTGAACTCATCAGTTAAAATACTGAGATTCTGATTGATTTTTTTTAAATCTAGATATTAGTTGTTATAAAAATGAAATACAAAAATTGAAAGAAAAAGATCGGAAAATGATTTACCAGACATACCATAGTGAAAGCAAGGTTTGTGTATCAATATTAGCATCAGATTGAAAAGACTGACCTCTGTACACACAAGAATGGTTATTGAATTTGACCCATGTCCTGATGGGTCCACTTATACTCTGCCCATAAAGTGATAATAAACATAATTACAAGTGTACCAGGAATCCCAGTGACTGCTCTGGTCAAACACGAAGACAGGGATGGCAGGACCACAGTCCCTGTATCTTGGTAATTTGTGGAAAGGAGAAAATGAAGAAAGCCCAGGAGACTGACAAGTGTAGGAATGGTTTTTAGGTTTGCCAACCCACCTGACTAAGCACTCTTGACCTTGGTAATGGATAAAATGGACTCTTTCATCAGGATTTTCTAGGGAGGTCCCTATGTACCTAACAGAAACAATCTCTTCACTCTCCAGAAAAGAAAGTTAAGTGTAATATACTGTTTATACTATGATTATTATTTTTTTATACAGAAAGGAAAATTCTTAATCCATTTTAGTTTATTGTGTTAAAAACAAAAAATGAACAAAAAAAATCTAATTTTCAAATAAAAAGCATATTAGGAAATTTAAGACTATTAGTGTGAAATAAAATTTTTGGTCCTTTAAATGAATTAAAGTAAGTACGATTAAAAAATAGTTCATCTGCACTAAATGTTACTTTATAAACTAGAGATTTATATTTATCAGACCCAAATGCCACTTTTAAATCTAAAAATTACAACACAAAACCTCTCATTTGCTGAAATTGCCATGATCTGAAGTGTCCTTTACTTAATGCTTCACAGATGTCTGATGCCAAATTGTTGGTCCAATTGGAAAGTATATTTAGTTCAGAAAAGTCTTCCAAAACATGTTTTCCTATGCTTCACTGACATTTACATGGGGCACTATTTGAAATGTGTCATTTATTTGTACTTTATGATCCATAAATTAAGCTCTCCTTTTCTTTTTCTAAATCAATTATGCTGTGACTATGATCACAAAATAGCTTTTCGTTTAAAGATATCATTGTTTCTATATTCCCTCAGACCAGGGTCATGTGCTACTTGATCATACTTTTAACTGGACTTTTCATCCACTTTCTCTTTGACCTTTACCCTAAGAGCCTTAGTCATTGCTGAACTGTTGCTGTAAGGGTGTTTTGCTTTATAATTTAGTCCACTACCACGAGTCTTTATGTACTTTGTGTTCAGTGATGGGAAAGAACTAATTTTATTGTTAGGTTATTAGTGTCATGAGATCTTGGTCTAGTGAAGGCTAATACTGAAGGCTTGCCATAGCAGGCAGTTAAAGACAGAAATGGAAAAGACTATTGATTTGAATATTCAGAAAAGGACATTTTGTATTTATAATTAATACTGGGGCTTTCCAATGCCATGAATGTACTAGTACAGACTACTGCAGGTTAAGTACAGCCAGCAGTACTAGTAAAAATATGACTAAGAAAGTGGAAAAGAATATTAATAAAAAGGGAATTTTTTGACTCAAGGTAATCTGGATAATTAAAATGGCTTTCCATGTATTACTAATACTCTTTAAAATCCCTTAAAACTATCACAGAACAATAGAATCTGGAAAAATCTTTTCACTTCCCCACAATGCAGAAGTTGTTTCTGTGACAGCTGTAACTATGCACACATTAAATATACCAATTCCTAAGGAACACAGAGGATAACACAATCTCTTATACAAACAATTAAGCAGTTAAATGCTTACTTACAGAAACTTAATTGTCGACTTTCACAGAATTCTGAATATTGAGCTGAATCCATAATTCGAGTCTGTCTTTCTGCTCTCTGTTAAAAAGAAAAAGAAATACTGTAAAAGAGATAGACTGACAGCTAAAACTTATGTTTGAAGTAATGTACCATTTTTCTTTTCTTACTCTATAGTCTTAAGTGAACAGTTATAATACACATTCACACACACATATCATGATATATAAAATCACGGTAATAACAATTGTGAACCTTGTTCCTTCAGAAAGAATTTAACGTATTATCTTCTGCTTCTTTGTTACTGAAACTAAAGCTGAAAGACCGAATTTCTTAGATTGTGTATTTTTAAAGTTTCTTCATTCTAACATTGTTCTAAAGAGGACTGTGAGGGTATGTTAACCAAACAGAAAAACCATTATTAACTATTACTGCCCATCTACTTTAAAGTAGTAATTTTTCTGTGCCAAAACAGGAATCAGCAAATGAAATTCATATATTTCCCATCAGAATATGGTAGCAGAGGTAATAAATTCATATCTTAAATTGCAAAGAAAAATAAAGAACAAAGTAAACACAACACAAATCCTTTAATCTAAGTCCAGGTATGATTCAGTTTGGTATAGTTTTATCCGTGGGTTTCTGATTCAGTAGAGCAGATGTTTGCAGCTTCTCTGTCTCACAAGAGATAGGATAATTATAATTCACCCATGGTCTGGTGGGAAAGAATATGACCACTTCCACTTTCCTGGTAAAGGAAGCATTTTGAAATGGGACAGGCTGGTGCTTCTTGGAATGAGTTTCTGGCCAGCAATGGAAAAAACTTGCCTGAGATTTAAAATTGTTTTCTGCTTTGGAAGGACTTTCAGAAACTTATCTTTATCACAGTTGTTGGACTACATAAGTACTGCTTCTTCTAATGTCTATGGATATTTTTCTGTTTTAAAACTGAAGTTATTCTTTTTTTTTTTTTGATCTGAGTGAGTGGTCAACATTAACAATATGTCAGCTGGTGGAACAAATAATGGTGTGTCAGCTACAGTTGAATACAGAAAACATAAGCGGGGTGGGCAGAAGCTCAGGTTAAAAACAGCTAACTGCTGTGGTTCCTCCTAAGACTGCTATTTTTTCCTTCCTTATCTTTTTCTATCTTTTCTTTCTTTCCTTGCCTCCTCCCCCAAAATAAAAATTTACAAACATACTTATTTGGAGACATAAATCCAGACTTCCCTTATTTACTATGGAGGTTCAAATACCCTTTTCAAGCATTTATGAGCAAATAAATACTTAACATATAAAATGCTCACACACATGTATATATTTATGTACACAGTCATGTGCATTGTCTTCTGCATGTATCAGAAATACCATATACCCTTAAAAGGGTGTGTTTCTGGGTAAATTTTTATGTACTTGGAAGGCTCTTTGAATATATAAATGCATGGTTTACTCTTAGCCTTTTCTTTCTTGTGTATTGACAAATGACTCAAATGTTTGCTGATAGAAAACAGAAAGCCAGGAAAAACTTATTTATGTGTTTTGCACATAATAAATGCATTATTAATGTATTTACCTAAAAAATCCTCTAAGACTGATAACACTATCTCATTTATATGTATCTATGAATGTATGTTTGCTTTTTGTACAAAACATTTGTATGTGTATGTCTGACTATAGCGGGGCCCTTTCAGGCTTCAAGCTTTAGCTCCTACAAATAAATCTGACACATGGCAAATAAATAATGAACATTTTAAACAAATGCCACCATTTTTCTACAGGGCAAATAATGATCATCACCGTAATGTAACTGGTCCCTCAATTTCCTTGTATTCCTATATATCTTCTCTGCCACTCTTGCTAAAGTGGCAGTCTTATCCACCCAATGTGTAGTGTAAAGAAAGGATTTAGATCATCTAACTATGGAAAAAACCAAATGCTCCTAAAGAGATTCAACATTTCCTCCCTGTATGTATGCTTATATAGTTGATATTTATCTGCAATGAATAATAATAGACATTGAATGTAGGAAAACATCCTATAGGATTAAGGTCACCTGAGTAGCTGGCTTTCGCTAAGTGAAGGTTCTGGACAGCAAAGCCTGTAGTCTGACTACACTTCAATGATTCTCAGAAGCATCTGAAGAACCCTACATTATTACAGCTAACTTCATTCCTTTCAGAACCCTCTTTAGTGCCCATTCTCCTTTGTCCACTATGCATCTTTGTTCTTTTTCAGTTCCTCTAGCATCTAAGCAGGAAGCTTAGATCTTAGCAGCACCAGACAGCTGGCCGGAGGGCACGTCCTGGCAGCCATTTACTTAGAGCCTGGCACACAGGAAACATGCAAGGTGGTTACTTATCAGTAAGATTATGGGCATGGTAAAAGAGAGCTACAGAGTGGCTTAAAGTTTATCTTGTTCCAGCCTCTTCATTAAAAAGATAAAGATATTGAGGTTCAGAGAGAAGGGGTTTGCCAAAGGTGACCAAGTCCAGACTAAAGCCCAGGAAGCCCAGTTTCTGAACTAGCCTATGTGCATTATAAAAAACTATCTCTAACTTTTTTTTTTTTTTAAATTCCAATGTCCTGTTAGTTGATTTAACCAGGAACTGTACAGCCATAATAAAATCATACATTTCAGAGAGGGTAAGCTGTTTGTAAGCCATTAAAAATCAAGACATTGGCCAAAATTCCAATGTCCTGTTAGTTGATTTAACCAGGAACTGTACAGCCATAACAAAATCATACATTTCAGAGAGGGTAAGCTGTTTGTAAGCCATTAAAAATCAAGACATTGGCCAAATATTAATGGTTTTGGCTTTTATTTCTGGTGGTATCCTGATTCCAATTTCCCATCTGCCTTTATTCAGAGCACTCAGTCATAATCCAACACATCCTACTTGTACAGTGTTAGTTCTTTTCTAATTCCGGTACTGTAAGAAATCTCTCCAGAAAAAAGTACAAAGGGAAAAAAAAATCTTAAAGCTACTACAGTAACCTGATGAAAATACTGATGGACACTCTGTGTAAAGTAGCACAACCTCTAGGAGAAACAGCTTTAATAGCTCCATTTATAGCTGAAAACACTGTGGTTTAGAGAGGTTAATGGAAACTTTGAGAACATACACTTAATGAAGAGGCAAAGCTAGAAAGAGGCAAAGCTGGAGTCCACATGGCTTCTAGGAGAAGACGTGTGTCTCCTATTCTCTGTAATGAAGGCTCTACTCCTTTTAGGTTCTGGTTTCTGAAGCAAGCTTAGGAAGCAAGCGTCAGTTTGAAAGTGTCACTCTGAAAGGGCATTGTGAAGTTCATTTGACTATTCCATATGTTCATGAAACCAGAATCAAAATAACAACATATCGCTAGAATTCTGAAAACACAAATCTCTTAAATAAGAAAATTATTGAATAATCCTAGCTGGTTCATCACAGCCTTTCTTCACACAAAACACACAAATGATACAATGTTCTCCTGATCTCAGCCTGACACGTGAGTGCAAGGTCATCTTCAGATGAGTCATGCTCTTGTATCTGCAAGTCCAGTTCCTCTTCTGCTTAATCAGCTCAGCCTGCCTACCCCGGTTTCTTTAGAGATCAACAAACAATGTACTTGAGCACTCAGAAAAATACATAACATATTCATCTTTTTCTGAAATTAAATCTTAATAGTGTTACAATATAGCAGAGTATTACAAGATAGGAGCACACATAGAAAATGATCTTTGAAAGAATTATTCCTAAAATTTACCATTCAACAATGTTTTGACATTTAACTGAAGCAGATTTTTAAAGAGGTCAAGAGCATGGGTATGTTATCAGTCACTCATCTCACTACTGAGAAGTTACAGCATTTTTTCTGGTAATTGTAAAACAAACTTGGAAGTTAGACTTCCACACCAGATACACTCATGTTCTGGGTCCTATCCAAATGAAAACAGGAAAGCAACTCTCCCTGCATATGCAGTACCTGGTATATAATTTGATTTTCAATATCACAAACATAACATACTCTTGGTATAGATTTGTTAATTTGACTTCAGTTAGGGGAAGTTGGTGGTGTCTTTGAAAACTACTTCCAGCAAAGACAATTACCCCTTGTCTCACAGATACATCTGAGACTGAAGGCTGGACTGTGTATACAGCTGGCACTCCACTGAAACTTACCACGTGCTTTTACAGTACAGAAACTACATGCTGGTATATCTCTTGGCAGCTTCTCAAGATACATGACATTTATCTTTCTTCAGTAACAGAACCAGAACATAACTTTCAAACCAAATGAAAGTTTATCTACTCTCACTCCTACCTCAAACTCTTTTATCCAAAAATTTTACTTGGATTACTCTCAGAAATTTTACCATTGAAACATAAAGTTTCTTCTATATGGAAAGGAAAAATGCCAATCATAATCTACCAACTACCTCATGGACAGGAACTGATAAACCAGAAAATGTCAAATGGTGCGGGTAGCAAAAGCATTCAGCTGCATGACTTACAGAATGTTTGTGCCTGTTTATGAATGGATGATGTGCTATGTTTGCAGAATACTGAAAACTCACTAATACCAGACTACTGAAGAATCATCCCCTAGCTCGCCATAGGTAAGGAAGATGAGGCCGAGAAAGAGATGCTGGCAGAGGCATTTTGGTACCCTAGCTTACTCTGCTTGGTGGGTCAGTTTGTAATTTAGATTTCCCTTACCCAAAAGTCAACTATCCCTCTCTCAAAATGCATGGCAAACTAGGAGCAGTGGTATATACCTATAACAACAGCTACTGGGGAGGCTGAAGCAGGAGGATTACAAATTCAAGTCCAACCTGGGCAATTTAGTAATACCATGTCTAAAGATAAAAGATTCGAAAATGGCTTGAGCTGTTTCTCATTGAGAAGGTCCTAGGTTCAGTTCCCAGTATCACAAAATACAAAACAAAACACATAGTTTCCCTTCTTTTTTATTTTGCTGTAAAACTTTTCATTATGGACCTGGAATACTATAACAGATTCTTGGCTAGTTCCTGCTACATAAATTGCCTCCCCTAACCTATCATGGGTATAACTACTATAAATAAAAATACAACTACCACC